TGGAAGGTGTTTTAGTGCTTGCAGTTATACTGGGGGCCTGCCTCCCCCTTTAAAAAATAGTGTTGCCTCTTCCAGTTTTAGCAGTTACTGTTGGCAGGAGTTGCCTTGTTTTTAACTACTGAAATGGAAATTGCTTGTGTCCTGTGCATCAGGCCAGTAATGTTAGTGCCCTCTGCTGCTGGCATAACACAGTCTGTGCTGCTTGTTGGCACCATCTCTTTTGTCTTGGGACCAACAAACTGAAAGGTTTGGCCTGTGAAAATCTCTTCCAGATGGAGCGCTTTCTAATTTAAATCTCTTTGGGGATTAAAAAAGGGCTAAGGCCATTTCGATATAAAAAACCCGTGCATGGATCGTATGATTATTCATAGTGTGCTAGACCTTTGTGAACTAAAAAGAATGGAATATTAATAGACTGGAAATGGCATCAGGGCATAAGTGGTGTGTATGTGTAACTGTTAAGTCCATTCAAATGTGCATATATCAGTGCCTGTGAATGGGGCTCCAGTTTTAACATCCTCTTTAACGTGCATACTATTAACATGATCCAGTCAGCATTAAGCACATTTAAGTTCCATTACTTCCACTGAGACAGGTTTAATTTTCTCCAGTTGAATCGATTGCTTCACTTTCAGCTTGATTGTATTTGTATTTTTTAACCATTAAATAAGCACCTAAACATAAAACACAACCTACAACATATATTAACAGATTCATTCTGATTAGAGGCGGGGTCAGTGTTGTTAGGAAAGGTCGCCATGCTTTTAAATTTTACGAGCAGCCAGTTTCTTATCTTGAGCTGTAGAACACCATCTTGGATATATTTAACCAAACCTAAAACTAGTAGACTACTCACTCAAGCCTTATCGGGACATTGGACTTGCACACTTTCTCCACTTGCAAGTTCTGAGTCTTTAATTTCTTTCAGATATTGACAACCTTTTGCAAAGGGAAGTCCTATTTATATACATGCAGGTCTTACCTCTGACATTGTCTTGTATGCCACCTCATGACGAGCCCCACTGCTGGTCTATTCCCAGCCATGTGCTGCGGTCTATGTCCACCCCGTGTTCTCAATCTATCAGCTTTGTTCCCCTGTTTAAAGCTTACCACTACTAACATTTACTGTTCTTTTCAAGTGAAATGCAGATATCTGGGGGAAAACAGGGAGTCAGTGAGTAGCTAAGTGGCCACAACCTCCATGGTGCATGGAGCGTCAATGTTCCCTCAGTCTTTTGAGAAACAAGATTGGGGGTGAGGGAGAGACCAAAGGAAATTTGTGGCTGCGTGGTGGCTGAGTTGTAAGCGTGTACAATATGTGAGACTATAGACTATATTAACCTGTGTGCCATATAAGCAGTAAAGTGGGTGGTTTAACTTAGTTTCCATGTGTTTTGGTGCATGAGAGAGCTGGTAAGTACTGTAATTTTCATTTATACTGGAAGTGTTTTGTAACAGCTATTAAGAAGGTATATCCTAATGGCCTGTTCTTGTGAACTGGTAGAACACTTACTGCTTGGTGGGATGCTCCCTTTTAAAATATGCTGAAAGCTAATGTGAAAGTGGTTTGCTGTTCTTCATCTCATCAACCAAGTATAGTTGGTTCAGTTCCTTCTTCCCTGTTACAGAACGAGACTGAACTCGCTTCCCAGATAACACCACCACCTTGTCAAGCAGAGATCAGAAGAACCACTTTGAATAAACAGGGGAAGGCCCTCTGGCAGTCAGCCCACAAATAATGTATAAACAACCACTATATAAATTATGTAAGAAGAAAAATTGAAGGGCCAAATTAGCTTTATTTCAGATGCTGTTGGATCATGTCCTTGGATATACCTGCACAACCAGGTATAGTTCCCTCTAAGCTGCGCTGGGGGTGCTGCTGCAGGCAACACAGGAAATTCTGCTTCAGCCCACAAGGCATTCCCCCCCTCCATTGGAAACAATAGAGGATGGGGCTGCCTCCTGCTGGGGCCCATAGAATTGGACCCTGGGTACAATCTTTTTGAAACTTGGGGGGGGGGGAGTTTGAGGAGAGGCACCAGCAGCTATGCTGCAAATTTGGTGCCTCTACCTTAAAAAAAAAACCCCCCCCCCCCGGGCCCCAGATACCCCCAAATCAATTCTCCATTATAGCCTATGGGGCCTATTGATTTTAATGGTTCCCATAGGCTACAATGGACCGGGGGGGGGGGACATTTTTTCCCACACCTCTATTATGCTTTTCAGTATGATTTATTTATTTATTTATTTATTTCATTTTTTTTTTAATCCAACCCTCCCCATGAATGGGCTCAGGGCGCACAGTCTCAACAACAATAGTTAAATAACAAGCTTTGTGTTGCTATACTCAGTTTAGGCTGATCATAGAGCCAGTGATTTCCGTGGGGTAGGCCACAGAAATGGTTTTTGGATTTGTAAGCTGCCTTGAGTCACAGGGAAAAGTGAGATATAAATAAATAGTTTGGGTAGTTTGATAACATTTAAGCAACTTCCTGTTTGTTAGGTTAGGCAGGGTTCTGACAAGTAGACTGCAAGAGGCCCCCCCCCCCCCATGCTGGTATGTTTTCTAAGGCTAAGCACAGGGCGGCAGTCCGTGGCCGGGTCTCCAATATAGTGGACTGGGGCGGGTAGACCTGTTCTCCGGAGGCCAGGTCTACAAATATAGTGGAAAGGGGAGGGTGAAATATGACTTGATTCTGTTTTCTCTTATAATGTCTAAATTGTTCTTAAAATATAGTCTAAATATTATTCAAAAGGATTTATTCTGAGATTTTTACAAGGTTATGGAAGTAATCTTCTAAAAACTAATTTACACAATAGTCAAATGTAGACATTAATGCTGCTGGCTTTTTTTTTTTATTCACGGGTAGAATTTCTGCTCACAGCACTGTGGAGCTTAGAAGGAACATTGCAACTGGGTACTGTGGCATGGTTTTGATAATGAAATTTCACCTGAGCCTTAAATCCCTCCCATGTCAGCATTATCTTTCCTGTTGTGATTACATTTCTGGATATGCAGAATGGTTGTATGTTGCCCCCAGTGGTGGATCCTGTGGCCAGAAGTCCTGGTTATGGAAATAGTGTATAAATCACAGTTAGAGTTGCCAACAAGCCTGGAGAAAAATATCCTGTCCCTTTAATAGAGACTTAATGGAAATAGACAGCTAAAGCTTTTCTTGGCATGGGGTAAAGCCTTTGTTAAAGGGACAGGACATTTTCTCCTGGTAGCTGGTACCAGTGGTCATAATATGCTGCAAGACCTAGTGGACTCTCTTTTCGTTTTCTAAATCTGAAAAGAAAGGAAACCTTGTAGAGTCCACAGAAGGCAAGAGTCAGCATGGGAGACCCAGATTTGAATCCCTACCTACTCTACTGTAGAAGCTTGCCAGGTAATCTTGGGCCAGCCACACTCAGCCCAGCTTACATCCCAGGGTGGTGGTTGTGAGGGTAAAACTGAAGAGAGAAGAGCGATCTTGTAAGAAGCTTTGACCCACCCACTGGAGAGAACAGTGGGGTATAAATACATAAATAAGAGAAGAAGAAGAAGAGATTGTATTTATACCCCACCCTTCACTCAGAGTCTCAGAGCAGCTTACAAACTCCTTTCCCTTCCCCTTCTTCACAACAGACACCCTGTGAGGTAGGTGGGACTGAGAGAGCTCTTTCAAGGGCAGCTCTGACAGAACTATGGCTTGTCCAAGGTCATCCAGCAGCTGCAAGTGGAGGAGTGGGGAATCAAACCCAGTTCTCCCAGATTAGAGTCCGCTCATTTAACCACTACACCAAACTGGCACTTAATGCACAAACTGTGTACTTAACCACTACACCAAATAATAATAATGAAAACCCTTTCCCAGCTCTACATATAGGGATAAATATCATTTGTAGGCTGATGGCATGGATGTCTAATCTACTGAGATATCCAAAATTTTCTGTGTTTCTTCTGGAGTCTTATCAAAAGATTAATGTGTAAATTGATGCGTTGACCGAACTTGTTCATAACATTCTAGGATGAATTCAGAATGCCTCAGGTTTCTCACTAGATCAGACCGTTGAGTGAGTTACTGACATGCATTTCTCTTCTCCTGAACATATAGGAATGAAATCCGTATTTGTGACATGCAAGCATATCCTAAGCAGTGTCTAATGTCATTTAATTTTATATGTGAATCTATCAACATGTGAACCGTTCTGCTGTGTCTTTTTTTCCTCTTGAGCTTTCTGCGGTTCATCCATATGCACGCATCGCCAGTCCCACTTTCCCAAACCTTCTTTCATGCTCAAAAATTGCATGTATTCATTTGGTTGTAATGCAGATAACTGCATTTGAATACATCAGAACACAGCTGGATAGTAAGGGATGAACGCATTGACTTTGACTCTTGTGGTTATCCAGGACCGCATTCCAGTTATCTCCGGCGTCCTGAGGCACCAGTATGCATTTATGCAGCTGCAGAAAGCCCTGTCATATAGAAATACTAGCTTGAACTTTGCTATATTTCATACATTCATTGTATAATGGAAACTGTTCTATCCAGTCACAGTGAGGATTGATAACGGGCCATCATGCATGGCCTTTATGAGCCTTCCATGGCATTAATGGCCAAGAACAGTAAATGCTGAACAAACTGTATGACCATCTCTGGTTTTTGGAATCATTGAGTTAGACCTCTTTCAGGGATGACTTAGTTATAAAGGTCTGTCTTCATGCAGGGAGTTTTCACTTCCAGTTGTGAGTCTTCCTGGCATAGATTTGTATTTTTAATGTATTTTTCCCCTTGGGAGGGTTGGCCACACATTGCATCTTTGCAGCCTTTGTCCCAGAATAATTGCTGCCTGCCACCTTATGATATTAGGGGTAAGCAGTGCGGCTTGGCACTCTCAGATTCCTGGTTAGCAGTAAAAATGATCAATTACATGTGAGTTTGCTCAGAAAAGCCATTACAGCTTAACCTTGTCCATTTTGTTTGTTTTCTGTCCTTTTGTTTTTTCATTAGTGAAGCTGTGGTCAACCAACCTGGACAATTCCGTAGCCAGTATTGAGGCCAAGGCGAATGTGTGTTGCGTCAAATTCAGCCCGTCATCTAGGTACCATCTAGCCTTTGGTTGTGCAGGTACGTGTAACAATTGGCACTTCTCTGCTGGGCATTGTGAACAGGACAAGGAAAGATGGCCATGTCAGTGTATCCCACACTGTATTTTGTAAACCATAATCCTTTGTTCTGTTTGTGCTGTTGTCTAATCATTAAAACCGCTGAGAAAATACACAAATTATGCACCACTCTGTCTCCAGGATGTCAGGTTAGGGGGTAAGTCTTCGTGTAAGAAGATGGGGGCTTATCTTCTGACTCAGTGGCAAGTTCTTTACTGTGAGAGTTTCCTGCTTATCTTCAGCAGACCTTTTTAGTCTTATGTTTTTGTACACCCCCGGTGTTAAAACTGTCTCTGCGCGCCTCAGGGAGGGGATGGAACTTTTACTTTCAATAAATTTTTCCATTCTTAAGCTCCAGAAGACAGTGAAGCTTTGGCTGGTCTCCTTATTGGCATTAAGGAGAGATGAGCAGAGGCCAAAAGGATGTTCTTTTGTTTCCCCAGTCTGCATATTTCTCTTTTAAGCTGCTGACTAGTTTGTCCTTGAATTCTATATTCACATTGGTAAGATGTAGCAAGGAGGGTGACGTCCATCCCTGTCTCATTGTACAGTGTTGCCTTCTGGATGGCAGGGAAAAACTCTTTGTTGGTGAACCTAATGGAGAAACATGAATTGCTGTACTTGCAGTGCTGGAGAGCAACGGGCACTTTAGAAAATCTTTTAGTAGGAAATGGCAGGGGTTTATTTTTATACACCTACAGAGTAGCACCTGGTGAAATAATACTGCTTTATTTTAAAAGATGGCATTTCTTTTTCCGGAACACCATAATTGTCTTATCTCCTTGAAATGTTTCCTGTGGAAAAGAATACAAAAAGAGATTTCTAAAGCACCAGTGAAGAAGCGCGCTTAGATATCGGTGCCAATCAACGCTTGTACATCCTCCTGGGACTTCGCTGAATGAGGCAGCTCACCGGGTTTTAGTTGTTGAGGGGTTTATATGGATAGATGTCCGCCTAGCCTCATGTGACGTTCTTGCTTATAGGGAGACGGTTTTACCTTTAAACACTCATGGAGTACATAAACTTGGTCGTTTTCTGCTGCCACCAGGAATTAAAATTCCTGTTCTCTCTCTTTTGGTAGTATGACCTAGGGTCTGGGCACTTCAGAGGACTATGTGGCCCTGAGGAAGTACTGTACTGATTTCTGGGATGTTTTTAAAACAAAAATTGATTTATTTAATAAAGAACAAAATAGGCTTCTGGTTATTTTGAACTGTTACTGGAAAAAAAACCTTGTAAATATAACTGGCTAAACTTGGTGTTACAAACAGTCTCTCAGACTTCACTCTGACAGGCTTATCTTTTTCTCTCTCATAGCCACACTGGCTAAGATCTTTGTCTTAGGCACACAAGATAAAACATTTGTCTAACCATACAGTTTAGACACAACTTGTTTCTTTGCCATATAGACTTTCTCACAAAACTGTTAGAGTCACATAGACTCTCTTCAAAGCTCTCCCATGCTTCACTCTCCAAAAGACACACACACACGGATTCCACTCAGAACATCTCCCCCCACACTCTCAGTCATCAGCCAATCAAATCACACTTAGCTCCTTCTATCACTCTTCTTACATTACTGCAGTCAAGCAACATTTAAAGACACACACACACCAAAACATGGAATCATTACACCTCAAGTCAGGGAAAACCGGTTGCTATGAGCTATAGGAAGAAACTAAATTTACCGGACAGAATGGTTAGTCAGTACTGGAAATACACAGTACAAAAGTTCCACGCTTAACACCATGGCTTCTGTTGCTGTAGAAGATGTTTCATAGCCAAAAGGAGAGTTCCTGGTATACAATTAAGAAAATGGTCCAGTACTTGTGAAGGTGGGGTTGAGAAAAGGCAAGAAAGGGTAAAGAAAAAGAAAGGGGAAATTCCAGTAATATTTTTAAGAAGATGGCTCTAAGGTTAGGTTACTGCAGTGTGTGGTAGGTGGGGCTGACCTTGAAAAGTGTTTGGGAACTCCAGTTGGTATAGAATACAGCCCGGATGTGGTCTGGAGTAGGTTGTAGGGACTGTTTCACTCCAGTGTTGGCCCATCTACCTTTATTTATTTATTTATTTATTTATTTATTTATTTATTATTTACATTTTTATCCCACTCTGCCCGAAGGCTCAGGGCGGCTAACAGGCATATAGCTAAATAAAACAATAAAAGCAGTACAAAATATTAAAAGTACATCCCAATTTATAGCCTATCTAAAAGCAAGACTATCTAAAAGCTTGTTTCCAGGCCCAATTCAAGGTACTGTTGTTGACCTCTAAAGCCCTATATAGTTTGCGACCAGTGCCACTTAAGGACCGCCTAATCCTGTGCAAGCCTACCTGACTGCTGCAGTTATCTTCTTAAGGCCCTGGCCATTTTTTTGAAGCCAGATGGATGGCATCCTGAGGGAGGGTCTTCTCAGTTGTTGCGTCAAGATTATGAAACGTTGTCCCCGGGGATATTTGTCTGTTGCCTTCTTATCCCTGCCTTCTTTCAGCAAGTGAAGACTTCTTATTCTGCCGATCGTGCCCTCAGTGATCTCTTCTTTCTGCCTTATGCTTTTCTGTGCTGTTTTGGATTTTAAATATGTTTTAGCACTGATTTTAACTGCTTTTGCAATGCATTTTTATTATGCTTGATCTAATTAGTAGACACCTTGGTGGCTTTGATCTGGCAGAAAGGTAGGATATAGATACTGCACATAAATAAATTAGTTCCATATGTAAATAAAGGTGCATATTTGAAAGAATGAAAGGAAGGGTAAGACAAATTAAGTCTTAATGAGAGATGTAATGTCACAAAAGGAGCATTTTAATATTATGTGTTGAGTTTGTCTTGTGTGCCAATAAATGGTGAGGGAAGGATAGGGAAGCTTAGGAGGAGGAAGATTTATACTCAACCCTTCACTACCCAAAGGAGTCTCAGAGGGGCTTACAGTCTCCTTTCCCTTCCCCTCCCCACAACAGACACCCTGTGAGGTAGATGGGGCTGAGAGAGCTCTCTTGAAAGAACAGCTCATGAGAGAACAGCTCTGAGAGAACTTTGAGTGGCCCAAGATCACCCAGCTGGCTCCATGTGGAGGAGTGGAAAATCAAACCCGGTTCTCCAGATTAGAGTCCACCGCTCTTAACTACTACACCAAACCTACTCCGAGATCTTCAGGTCACTCTTAGCTAGGTTGACAGTCAGCAACCTTTCCCTCTTCCTGTCTAGCTGGTTTATTGCATTCCCTAAACTCTTATACTCTGAAATAAATGCATCTTTTACAACACTCACCTTGCTGAGTGAAGTATGTGACTAAGTGAGGTCTCTATCCTGTTGTCTTAAGCCAGCTTGGAGCTGCACAGTCTGGCTTTGGCTCATTGCAAGCAGGCAGCTGGTACTAACCTGGTACTAAATCCTTGCTTGCAATGAGTCAAAGCCAGACTGTGCAGCTCCAAGCTGGTTTAAGACAACCTGGGTTACAACCATGGTTAGTACCAGCCGTGGTTGTAACCCAGGTTAACACTCACAATTTCTGGGGCATCCTACATTCAGAAACCACTAGGAAGCAGAGTTTAATTGAACTATAGTTTATCCAGCACCTAAATAGTCATTGGAGCCAACTGTTTAAATGGATTGGGGTGTACCCTTAAAAGATCACTGTGATGTGATCCCTTTGAGTGGCACCAGTTAGAATCTTAATTGCTGCTGTACCTTTTGTTAGCCACAGATTATTCAACTCTACCCGTAGTGGCACCTCAGCATGAAGATGAGCAAAGGGATTTATGGGTATACTAGGAGGGAAGCCCATTGTAGGCTCAAGACAACGAGCGCTAGAAGCCCCTCCCCTGCACATCCCAACCTTTCCCTGCCCCTGGGGCCAGTGTGTGGCAAGTGGCTTCTTGGCCAGGTGTGGCCGGCGGGCTCCGGGCCGCCTTGACGGCTCGGCGGGGCGAGGGCACGGCAGCCGCCGTCCACACGGAGGCTGGCCGTGAGTGACAGCAGGACTGGGGTTGGCCTGAAGATGCAGTGACCTGTGAAGGGGGTGGGGCGCCCGTCACGTTGTTGCAAAGTGTGGCACTCCCCCCCCGCCTCCTCCCTGACCCCGAGGCCCTGCTGTATCCGGCAGGCTCCGTTCCGGCTCGGCAGTTCTTTGCCCTGGCGGCACAGCAGGCCCCATCCGCTCGCAGGCTGGCCTCTGATGTGGCTTGGGCCTTGGTGGCCCACGGCGACAGCAATGGCGGCAGGGCCAGGCTCTGGGCGATGACCCCGTGGGCAGGTAAGGGGCTGTGGTGTCTGCCACATCAGAGGAAAGTGTCACGATTGCGCCCGGAAAGTCCAAAACACAGTCTGAGGTCAGGGCACCAGATAAGGCAGAGAAGCGTGAGTAGAGTCCAAAATACCAAGTCAAAACACAGTCTAGGGTTACCGGAGATTGCAGACAGAGTTTAGAAGCCAAAGTCGTTTGTCAAGAGTCAGGTTACACAGTCCAAAGTCAGGGAGCCAGAGAAACGACGTCACGCAAGCCAAAGTCAGGAGCCGGGGAATCAAAATGAAAACCAGGAAATAGGAATGCAGGATCCGGGGTGCAGCGATTCGTCTATGCGATTAGTTGCCAGCACGAGTTGGAGATCTGAGAGAGCTGCCTTAAAAGCCCATTCCACTTGTTAGCCAATTACCAGCCGCTAACAGGGTCCTGGCTCCGGTCAGTACTCTGGGCTTAGAGTACTCACATGCGTGCCTCTTTATGCCGGGTTGCCATGTTCCGTTGCCTTTGTTCACGCAAACGAGACACAGATGGTGGGGAATCAGGAGGCGTGGTGCTTGTGCTTGGCTCTGCAGGTGCGGCTCCAGGTGTAAACTCTCCTGGTAGCTGGTGCTCATCCTCCCCAGGACTTAGACCTAGTGATTCAAGGGGTGCAGGGAGCTCACCCTCGGATGTTGAGGCTGTAGAATCCCCGGGGTCAGGCTTCACTGCGGGCATG